ATGCATGCATATACACACACACACAAGCACATGCCTTTATAAGCCCTGAGCATAAAGGGCTCAGATGAGCCGAGGTAATCTGTTACATCAATGGCGCGGAGCCTTCCGAGGCGTGGTTTGGGGTTTGGGGTTAGCTGGTTGTGCTGCTTCTTGTGGGGTCCCTTGTAGGGGAAAATGATGGCTTTCCTGTGTGCGAGTCTTGTACAGGTATTGAGTTGAGAAGGGCAAAACTTATTAGGGATTGAGCTACAAGAAGGGTCTGTACTTTTCTGCCAGCTCCGACATCAAATCCCGAGTTTCTCTTACAACATGTTGTTTTTAAAGTCGGGTCCGCAGCAAAAGGCATAACATGCACATTCTGGACTCTGGACCCTGCACCCATTATTCCGATACTCCGTTACGTGCCTTCTGCAGGCTGTGGTTAAGCCCCTTCAGCCCCTCTCAGGTATTCCTAACCCTGAACCCAGTTGGTACTTGGCCTTAGTAAGTAACGGTTACAAATTATAAGAACCCTAATTGGGGTTGCAGGTATAACTACAGCTACCTTACTTTATAGCCCTAGTTCCTACGTCCCATCATCCTCCAAGTCGTTCGCGTAGAAACTAAAGGGTACTTGGTAATCTGGGGTCGGTGTTTGAGGCTCAATGTCAATGTAGACCCCTGATTCATGAACTCCTTTGCTTGAAGGGCCTTGATCTTAGGGTTTAGGGTTTTTTGTGGGTTCAGGGTTTAGGGTTTAGGAGTTGGGGTTCAGGGTTTACGGTTTCTAGGTTTCAGGGTTTAGGGTTCAGGGTAATTTGAGCATCGCGATGATAAACCCTTTTCAGGCAGGGGGGGTTACTACTCAGGGTCACCGTTCTATCAACAGGCAGCATTTCTTCGAACTGAAGGTACCAAAGATGTCCATTCTTAGAGGTTCTACAGGGTTCTGCAGTGACCTGAAATGAAGCACAGTCTGCTCTTTGCATGAGTCAACTTTGTAATATGGGGGCCTCAATATTTAGAATAGGGTTTTCGGAGTACATGGTTCTAATAAGGAACCCCGCAAATAATGTAGGTAATTATTTCGACCCCTCTATGAGCTGGGTCAGCGACGGGTATCATCAGCACCCGGACATCTCCCCCGATCCTCCCCAGCGGGGTTTCAGTACGAAGGATATGGGTAGTTCCCTAGATTAGGGTCCCCTTTTGTTTTTGAGGTCCCCAATATAGTACGGCACCCTTATAAAGAGGACCCAAAAAGGGACCCTAAACCCTGAACCCCAAAACCCAAAACCCAAAACCCAAAACCCTAATCCCTAAACCCTAAACCCTAAACCTAATTTAGAGAACTGTCCATATCCCCAAGGGCCATGAGACACAGATGCAGACCTGGGCCCCAGGCTTCAGACGGAAAGTCAGATTGTTTGGATGAGGTTTAAGGTTTAGGGTTTAGGGTTTAGGGTTTAGGGTTTAGGGTTTAGGGTTTAGGGTTTAGGGTTTAGGGTTTAAGGGTTTCGGGAAGGTGTTCGCATCGGACTCAGCTGAATGAAGACATGCCTTGCTGGTCGATCCAGCCGCAGAACATTGCGAAAATGCTGCAGGTCCTTGCAACAGGCCTGCCAGGGACAAAAGCCCTAAACCCTAAACCCTAAACCCTAAACCCTAAACCTAAACCCTAAACCCTAAGCCGCAGCCTACAACGAAGTGGCGCATCTCAGAGATTCTGTGGGTTGCTGCCATGGCCTTCCGCGGCTCAGCCCTCAGCCCTGTACGATATGGGGGTTTCCGAAAACAGGGGACCCTAATATAGTACTCTAAATCATAGGATCCCTACTATAAGGACCCCAAAATAAGGTACCCCTAATTTTCTGAAACTCCCATATCAGTGACAACCTAACAAATGGGGCGGCTCTTGGCATGTTAACAAGCCTGGTGTGACATGCGGAAAGGGTTCAGGCTCACAGCTGGGGTTCAGGAGGATTTGGAGTTCAGGACCAGCGGTTTAGGGTTTAGGGTTTAGGGTTTAGGGTTTATAGGGCTTATAGGGTTTAGGGTTTAGGGCTTCGGGTTTAGGGTTTAGGGTGTAGGGTTCAGGGTTGGCACTGGCGAACCTCGCCTGAAGTCCTCTTCTGTTTTGGAGGCTTGATAAGAGACATAGAAGGCTGGCTAACCAGAAGACAAGGGTTTATAGAACTGCAAAAGAAACAAAGCCCCTTAAACCCCGACCCTAAACCCTAAACC